CATCCGGAAAAGATCTGTTGCGTGATCCACAGAGCTGCTTCAAAGCAGACCACATATCGCGGCAGCTCTGGTTTCCCATTAGAGTTTTGATGTATATCCGATTTAGGCGCTGTATTTCTATTTTGATCATTAATGATAGATGTTTGACAGCACTGCACCTTCCAGTCCTGTAATTAAAACAAGTTGGCAAAGATTCATGATCAAATACGATGGAAATGTTTTTTGATGACCGACAAAGAGCACTGGACAGCTGTTTCGTCCTGTTTAGGACTCGGTCATCACAAAAAAATTCCATCGCATTTGCTTGTGTTTACCTCGTGGGGAATTAACGATCTCTCAAGGAGCGAAACCCATACACAAGACCATCAGGAGTGTATCTGAACAATGGGATGGGCTAATCCAAGCTTGATACTCTAAAACACATTCATGATCATTCAGTTATTTAAAATAATATAGCTCCACACATAAATTTACAAGTAGCAAACGGGAACAAGTAAAATTATTCTGTTTTCCGGTATTTTGATCATATCTCTCCTGTTATACTCTGCGATATTTGAATAATGTCGTATGATCACGAATCCACAAATGAGCATTTCAGTTTAGTGAGACAGCTACAGTGTAGGTACTGCTTATTGTGTTCATGTGGGCAGGAAAACTGATGAGTTGGCAATCAAATTTCATGTGACTCGTGACAGGAAACGGTTATGAGGATGCAAAAAAATCACTGTGACGCGAAACGAGATTTGGAGTGTGGTGATGGTGGTGGTGGTGTATGTGTGTGTGTGGGGGGGGATGCTTAAGTGTTCGAATTGTAGCAGACCTTATGATTCTTACTGGGCTAACATTAAGTCGGCCATTATCTTCTGTGTTCACAGCTTTGGGTGAGATTCACAGAAAAAGTCAAAGCCTCGACCATTCTCAGTTGTCTCATCTTGTCAAGACAATGTTTGGGAATACTCACATTGGGTTAGTTTTATGACACAAACCGTGCATGTTGGGTAAAGGTCATACTAGAACAAAGCGAGCTACAAAGAGTTCCACAATGAGCGAAACGGTCGCTTCATCGTTTGTCAGCGTTCACGTATACCGATGAATTTGTAGATTGGGAATTATTCAGAGGCGGTAAAGGATATCTTCTTGCGTTTAATAGGACACGTTTGATATCGTTAACTATGGAAAATTTCCATAAGGTTCAGATAAATAACCGGTTTTACAAGAATTCAGCAAACGGGAGACGATCATATGGACAAGAAAGCATTTCGTAAGCGCATTCGGGTAAGGCGGCACATATCGCTTCAAACTTCCGTTCTGAGAGCTGTAATGGAATTTAGTTAGCTCTATAGTTTACGGGGTGAATATACTTACTGTGTCACCCAGATGCCGTAGATTATTGGTACAAAATGTCCCACAAGGCAAACAAGAACAGCAACAAAAACAACAATAACCAAGAAGAAGTCATTCGGTGATATGAGCTGGAGGACTCTGATGATGTCAAAAGATGTGGTTATTATTATTATTATTCAATGGGGCAAATTGATAGAACACCGAAAACACCATATTTCAAAGACCATTGCAGATTCACTTCTCACACAGTATTCAAGTGTCATTTGATAGACAAAATACTCGCTGATGGAACTATTATGGGACGCCATTTTTAGCCAAGTCCGATGGTTGTCGCGGACTCGTTCGGGTAGCCTCGTGATCATGGGATCAGAAACAAGTAAATGACTACACACAGAAAGCGGAAACAGAGAAACAAAGAATGTTTGTTTCTGAATAGGACCCAAAATGATGGACTGCAGGTGAACTCAACGAAAAGCTATTCTATACAGCTAGGGGTATATGTGTGGACCATATAAGTTTGAGTAAGCTGTGATTCATTGGACACGTGTTCCTTGAGAAAAATATCTAGAACAATTGGTGGCATCACAGACTGTTGAACAAATTCACCAAGGTTGTAAAGAAACCAATGGGCATTGAAAAAAACTTTATAAAGGTGATATCGCCTAAATGGCCAAGGGTGTAGAAAAAAATAATAGTCGCAACAGAACATCGAATTCGTTTACCTACTGATCACTATAGTTTTTCTAACTGAAAGGCATAATTTCTGTCCTTGGGAAATCGTTTTGAATGCACTGTCTTATTCCCGTTAAACAGCATATATTGGTTGCATGACTTCGACAGTACCATTTGACTTAGGCGAAATGTACTGTGATCATGTTCATTTATAGTTCAATCTTTTCATGCACTGGACAATTAATTTGCGTGTTTAATGTGTATGGAATACGTATTCCCTCTCTTCTTTCAAAATTATATTTTGAGAGCAATGAACGCTACCATAATCCGTCTGCATAATTTACTCTCATGTGATCACAAAACTGTCTGTGAAAGCACTGGGTCTCATATGTGTAGTCTGCTACCGAACACTGCCACCTCTGTTGTATATCAGACGTATATACGGAGTGACCGTAAAATTCAGTCGTAGAGCTTGCAATAAGTGTAACAACACAATGTGCTTCATGACCCGTAGATGAGCACGAGGATAATCCCCAACATTCAGCAACTGGATAGCACACCTGGATTCATGTCATTGAAGCCGCTGAGGTAGAAACAACAACAACAATATCAACAACAAATGATTTGGTTTAATTTTGGAAAACAAACAAACAAGCTTGGTCCGTGTAGTAACTGATGCACGCAACTTTTTACGATTCCTTATTGTGAACGTTCCGGAAAAATAGAGGCCCGTTGATATCGTCTGTCATAACGATTACCTCACATGGTCGGCTCCATTCAAAAATCAATCGAATCTGTGCCGTGTTGATCTCAATCTGTTCTGCGATTCACAACGGTTAAGAGATAAATTGTGCCATTTTAGTGGGGAACCCCTTTCGTGGATCGGTCACATGCGACTTGGTCGTATGTATGCCTATGAACAGGAGAGAGAGGAGGGGAGACGATTTTATTGCATTTGATCAGATGCAAAATCTGCGTACTCCGAACATGTGCAAATGCCTACAGACACGCACACTCACGCAGATATGCACATTGGTCAGAACCAAGAGTTTGATTGTAATCCATTTGACTGTTTACTTCAACAAGGCTTATTTAAGCGCCCCATATCGTCCATTGAAACGACACGGCATTTGTTAATTAACTACCGTTTATCACTGGTGATCAGCCATGTTGTTGGCTCCACTGATCGCTATCCTAGTGTTTTCTTTCACTATCGCTGATGCCCAGCATTCACCACCGAATCCGGGAAATTTCCGCTTTTACGAAGTTGCTAATCGACACCTGGCGGAAAATATGTGCCCATTTCTGGTCTTAGGGGATAAAAAATTGCCCATCGTTTGTTGGCAGTGCGGCTTCCCAGCCGGTTTGAATTCTAAGTAAGTTTTGCATTTAAATGATGTTTTTTTGCTGTAAGCAAATCATGCTACTGTGCATCAGAGTGTATTGTTGTAAGGCTTCAAACTTCCAAACAGTTCGTTCAAAGGATTTAGTTCAAACAGTTTCACTGTGTTATTAAAAATAATTTAACTACTCACAAAGGAGCTTTACTGTAGTGTTCTGCAGCTTTGAGGGGCGCATTTACAGCAAAACACGAAATGGCGAACAAGCTCGTTTTCGATAACTTCCTCATCTGACTAATACCGTTATATAAATGGGTAAAAAGTATATCACATTTGCATGACGTTCAACGTGTGTGTGGATTGGATTGGTAGATATAATTAGTTGTTTATGTGTGATTTACAAACAAAAATTGGAGTGGTCGATGGATGGGAAAGGGACGTGTCACAAGAGGGATTAGGACTGAGTCAAGGTTAACCATCAACGGTTTGGGGCATGGGGTCAATCGTAAAAGTCAAGGGGTCATGTAAAGAGTCGGCTCCAGTCATGCAACTGAATTCACTCCGTGACCATGGCAGTTGAAGTGCTTTTAAACGAATCGTGTTTGGAAACAAAGCGTTGGGTTAAACAGACGGATGACTACTGCCTCAGCTGTTGCTAAATGTTGTTGGCGAACAGCCTTAGATGGATAAGGAGAAACCCGGTAGGTCATCTTGAAAGCGTCCTCATTATCGAAAACGGGCTTGTTCGCTATTTCGTGTTTTGTTCTCAAATGTTACAATGGGAATCTTCAATTTACAGCAAAGTCAAAGTTAAAAAGATAAGCATCGCCTATTTACACCCACAGGCACTGGGATAAGTATTACTCACTTGCATTCCAACCCACAAACAAAATGATGTCAATTTGGTCAATGGATTTTGAAAGTCTTCTATGCCTTTTGTAATGTATTCATCTCTTTGATATTACCTTGTCCAAAAATTCAAATGAACACTAAAATAGAACAACGGTTGTAATAAGATTAGAGCAATAGAGTATGACAGAAGACTGAACTCGGGAATCCGTGAGGAATGCCACTGATGGTATTGCGCTTATTTGAAACCAAACCACACCTACTACATGGTCCGTATGTGATTATCTTTCGCTAATTAACGTTATGATCCCTATGTTTCCGATGTGTTAACAATTTAAATTTAATATTCTTTAGCCCGGAGAAGAATTTAGTGATTTTTGAATTCGATGTGAATTAGCTGTTCATCCAGTTCAGTAGTGAAAGCTTCACG